TTTTACGCGACATTTGTGTTTTCAAAATCATAATTCTGTGTCACCAAATGTCATAACATAGCACCGCACATCCCTACTGGAGGTCATAAAATTTTATTAATAAATCTATTTTACGGTCCACACGTCATCTAATGCATTTTATTTTGTTTACCAACAACAACTGACGAACAGCAGCGGTCACAACGGCAACAGCCGTGGCAGCAACGCCCAAAACGAACCAACTGACAGACGCCTCTGCAGTGACATGGCCACTAAAATGCGCCGATTCGGGGGCGTCGGCCGCAAAGACGCTAAAATATCAACCCGTATTGCAACAACAACAACTGAGCGTGCAGTAAGCATACAACATAATTTGATGACGAGCGCATCACTGCCGAAAATGTGTAAGCGGCAATAACAATAATAACAAAATATTTACAACACAGGTCATAACTACATACATACATAAAACAACAATAAAAGCGCCTGCTGCTGCTGTCACATGCTCGGCACTGGCGTGACATGAATCAGCATTTTTCAAGTCGACGCAGCAAATCCTGCGAGTGATGGCTCGGATACGTCGCTGCATGCACTCACACTCGTTAGTTTGTATGTTCATGCGTTTAGCCGCTCACACTCCATTCAGGCATTTAATTGTTTTGGCATTTGCGCTGCCGCCGCCTGACATGTTGCTCGTAAAAATCACAAATTTGGCTTCAGAATGATTAATTACACGCAACGGCGCTGACAGCCTGTAGTCCGTCCGAATTTCGACATTAAATGATCGTCACTCACACAGATAGCCCAAAGCGAGGCGAAAGTGAAAAGTATCATCTTTAACTTTGACAACTTCGGCTTAATGTGAAAGAGTGAAAAAGTTCGCGCCAGCTGTTGCCAAATCGAAGATGAGTTCATATTAACCGAAGTTCACACAAACATTTTACTTTTGTTTACAAAGTATCTTCAAAAAGTTGATCATTCTCTTAATAAACACAATTTTTTCCTAAATTTGTATATTCTTCGACCGCTTTGAAGTAATCCATCATGATTACAATATATTTGTATCAACATATTTTTATTTATAATTACTTTTCGAGCAGTTCACATTTTCAAGTTCGTATATTGTCGAAATAGTCTCCTGCAATGAACACCCAATGCATCTCTCTAACAGATTCGAGAAATGTTCCTTTGAAATATTTCGTTTGGAAATATGGGTATGTGATTCGACAAAACACATACTTAGTACAAATTATGATCTTTATAACCCTAAGATGATGACATTTAACAAGGTTGTTTTGTATTGAGGCTCACGTTAGATTCTAATCTTTGATTTGGTGTTTCGAAAATTGTTTATAAGTTTCGTTTAAGAGACCATGGTTGGCTTATTTTAAGTTCTGATTATAATTGAAACCAATTACATATATCCGACTATGGGATCTTCGAAAACAGCTATTATTCTTCCACTTTGATATTGATAGCTACTGGTATTTGTTGACATTGTAGCTCCTTTCATCCGTGAAAAGCAATGTAAGAAATTAGAAAAAATTGGTTTAATGAGTTAAATCTAATGGACGTCTGCGCCAACTCTCGAGTTTCCTTAGCCTTTAATTTAGAAATTTAGGAAATATGTTTGATGCAAGGTCGAAAAATTATAAAGGCTATATTTTTATAAAACAAAGTAGTAGAATTGAAGCCTATACCATTTTCTACCTTTATTGCTCCATAACTTCGATTTGGTTGAGCTGGAGTTGCAGAACTCAGCTAAATTCCAGTAAGAGCTTTACAATAAAAATATCAATATTTTTTGTGAAATTTGCATTAGCCGAAATAAGAAAGAGGAGAGAGTTACCACACAATATAACTTCGGTGACAGTAAGAGAATTGCAAAAGCAATTCCAAAGATAGGGGCCGACCGCAGACGTACCTCTTAAAAGTAATAAGTAAAAATGTTCCAATTCCAAAGTCTATTGCATGCTGAATGAACTTTAATTCTACATTAAATATCGGAGTTTCAGAAAATTCGGCGTTTCACCAAAAGAGTTTGCACTCTTTGAAAATTATGTTACTTGATTGTGGCTAAACTACTTAGAACACATAAAGAATATTTGGTATTTTTCTTAACTTTATTCACAGCTTCGTATTATGGGGTCTTTGGTGCATTTGCACATGAAGAATTTTAAAACCCGACACAACACAATTAACAAAAAAATGTACAACAGTTGTGAACTGTAAAAGGGTTTGAAGCACATACACATGTTTCCAAAAGAAGGGAGAAATTGCAGTAAATTCGCAGTGTCTCAAAAAACATAACCTTTTTTTCGGGCAGACAGTTGGCGAGTTGCTAACGCAAACCGGCGATACGAGTTCGATGCAATCAGCGAACAAATGCCACGTGTTATACAAACATCAGCAACGAAGTGAACTTACCTCAAGCCGCGCAGCCTTGCATGCCGACGAGCCAAAGGACGAACGAAGCATATATGTACAAGCAATAACTGTTCATAAGCATATGTTATCCTTGCAGCAGTTGCAGCGAGCCAGTTACAATTTAAATTAAATCCATTCGATGAACACGCTTTTGTAGTGTATGTGTATGTGACTATGTGGCATGCGGCGCAGAATAACAGTGGTAATGCAACAACAAGCGTTATGAGTAATGTGCGCAATTTTAACAGTTTCGCTTTGTTGCCTCAACTTTTATCGCGAGCAGGCATCGCTACAACAAAAACATCAGTGCACAAAGGAATAGGCAACACAACAACTTTTGCTCCACATATCACAAGAAGAGCACAAGAATTTGAATGCCAACAAACAAACCTATTTGAGTGCCACTGCCGCGGAGGCGGTGACACTGCTTGTTAAACCGCAACCTGTCTGCCTCCGCCTTCAAGCAGCAAGCAGCAAGCAACTCTGACGTTCGCTCGCAGGGGTCGGACGGAATGCAGTGACGTTGGCTTGCGGTTGTGGTAGCTAATCAAGATAGCTGATCGTTGCGATCGAGGAATGCCCACAAACGCACGCGCATGTATGTGTGTGTGTGTGTTACTTGGACTGCGTCATCTGGGCGCTGAGTTGATCGACTGACGTTTGCTGCCAATGAACGCCAGTTGTGGTCTGCAATCAACACTCTCGTCGACGCAACAATTCACCGACAATTGGTCGCAATCAGCGATAAGAAAGCGTGAAAGGAAAACCGAGACACTGTATTCAGTGATCGCAGTTGGGGAGCGTGGAAAGAGTAGCGGTGCGCTCGTGTTCACAATTCATGGTATTTTTGGCACATTTTGCGCGAAATGGAGCGTCGCTTGTGTTCGTGCTGCGACCCTTCCGCTTTGTGATATGTTTTTGAGCACATCGTTGACGTTGTCGGATCGAAAATTAAGATCAACGAAGGATCCTGACGCGTGCCCATATGGCGTACAGGTTGTGCCAAAGCACTTTTTGCATATTTGCGCACAAATTCAAGACAAGACATCACCCCAAAATATAGCGTCTGCTTTTTATTTTTGCATGGCTTTTGTTCGTTCGAAGGAAACAGCCGCTGTTTCTTCTTCTTTCGACATTAGAAGGTATTCACAATACCGTTAATTTGCCTAATGCTTGCAACACAAGGTACATCCTTTCAGCATATCCTTTAGTTTTGTGTTTACCGTTTTGTTGCAGCCTGCGTTCGCCTCAGCGCACATCTGCTCACACTCTTTGCCTAAATTAAACAACTATAAATCTAATTTCCTGACAAGCGTCATACTAATTTTAAGCCAGCTTGCCGAGTGCACGATGTTAAGTGTAAATTGAAATACAACGGCGTTTATGCAGCTTGCCGCTTGGCGCATGCGCTGATGCATATGACTGCCTTTGCGAGTGTCCCAAGTGGACCATAACAATAAATTAAGTAAAATAACATAATGCGGAACAAGTACGAGGTTCGATTGTGGAGCCAAAGGTCCTTATGGTCGAGAGAGCGAGTGCGGAGGTGGTGCAAAGGTGCAGCTGAGAGCTAAACAAATTAAAATCATAATGCACGGCAGCCGTTGACAAACGAAATAAAAATAAAAACAAAGCAAGTTCATGTCAATTACATATTGATGTAGGCAAGAATTATTTATGCTAGAGAAACAGTGGCGAGACGAAAGGAAGCGCACGGCGTTGCGAGCATGGATCAACGGCGTCTTAGGGATAGTCACAGCATCAGCGCGATTAGAGGGATCGCTAATCAGCGACACAGCACTGGATGGCTCAGCTGCCGAAGAGCAAGCATGACAATATAGAGTTGAAGTAGAATAAATATAAATACAGTGATGGCCATAAAACAGTGACTTGACATACAGTACACATGTATAACTGTTTAAAAAAATGTTAAAACGAATAATAACTTAATACTACGCGATCGCCTAAGTCAGAGAGCTGCCTTTTATAATAACTAAGCCTATTTTTGAGTATAAATATTTATGTATATCGTTTTGATTTGAATTTAAAGATAGTTGAAATTTCTTGGTTACACTTTCATGTTTATCACTGTATATACATATTCCTAGTAAGAGTTTGGTATTCGTTTGCTTTCTTGGTCTCCACGACGCGACTCGTGGCGACACAAATGACTTCTGTTTTGTTGTTGACACGAGAACACCGTGTCCCCGTGTCACCGTGTTCGCTCCGACGGTCAAACGATTTATTGTCCTTTGTAGGCGGCTCTTTTGTTGTCATTGGCAAGCGCAGACGCTTCTCCGGCTACTGCAAGTATAATATCGCCACTCATCGGTAGCCACGTGTGTTTGTGCTTATGTTTATGCATACATTAAGAGTAAATAGGTGCTTCGAAGGATTAAAGGACGCCTGTGGCACGAAGCATAAAATAACAACATCCTCGACACATTTGTAAATATTGAAATGATTTAGTAAGTACACATGTAGTTCTGCCAACGAGTGGAATGTTGCCCATGGGACAAGCGCCATTTCTAATAAATATGAACGAGATTTCGTAGAACATGAATGCTAGGAACAGACTAAAAAGAAAAAAATAGTCGATTGATATTAAAAATTAATGTTTTATTTGAAAATGCATGAATTTGAAATATTTAGTAATATTTTTTGTTCTCAATTCTGCCAGGTACAACGTAGACCTACAGCAGTCAAACTCTAATTCAGTGTCTTAGGTGCGATACAGTCGAATAAATTGGGAACAAAAATATTTATAACTGCACCCAAATGTGTTTATATTTATCAGTAAGAAAATTTATGACATTCTGCGCCATTAATTTAATTCTAGAGACACAATTTGTAAAAAAAAATTGTTTAAAATATTATCTACATAACTTCAATAAATAGTGTGGATAAATAAAAAATCTGAGCCATATTTATCATACAACACAAACACGTTTATATTATACATATGTATATATTATACTGCTATATCGGCCGCACAATCTTATCTCGACTAATACTGGCGAAAAGGCGTAAAAAGTCCATCCAATTGCTCCCTGCTACGAATTAATGTTATTTACACATGTAATTTACTATGACTTAACATAACTACATATATATGTATAAACATATATTTCGACCCCCTCATGACTTGAATCAAAGTCTTAAGAAGTCCACGTTTCGGGCAATTCATATGGTTGACACATATTTTCATTTAACCAACTTGCAATTGTTGTATTTGTTGCCTTCAAAGCGTCAACCTTTAGTTTGACCTTATCAGCTTTTTTCAAATATTCGCAGATATCCTGCAAGTCATAAGAATACCCTCGGACGTAATACCTTTCGTACCATGTGAAATATTTTATGTGTTCCTCGGGGTTCTGGTCCAAATAGAGCAAGTATTCGGTTAGTTCGCGTATACTCGCATAATCGCGAGCGTTTATGTACGAGTTGGGGGGCGCGAAACGTGTGTAATTAGCACCACCGAAGACTACCGGCAACATGCTGCCGTTCAAAGCTTTGAAAAAGCTCTCGCTAACGTAATCCTCGCACAGTTCCTCTTCGAAGGCCAAGAAAAACTTATACGTTTTATTCCCTCGACTATGTGGTACGAATTTGCAGGAGCCTTCGTCACAGCTGTGTAAAAAAAAGACAGCATTAAAAAATTTAATTTAGGCAAGAAAAAATGTTAAATTCGGTTGCACGAAGCTATAACACCATTCACAAATACAAAAAGTTCCTTAGAAGAACTTCATTCCGATTGTTCAGTTTGTATGGCAGCTATATGCTATAGTGGTCTGATCTCAGTTCCGTTTCGACAAATGAGCAGCTTCTTGATGAGAAAAAAGCAGTTGTAAATTTTAAAATCGATAACTCCAAAGCAGAGCGACTGGATGGTATATATATAGACGGTCAGACGGACATGCCTAAATCGACTTAGTTTATCTTTTAGATCATTTATATATATATATTTTATAGAATCTCCGACATTTCCTTCTGGGTGTTACAAACTGCGTGGCAAACTTAATCTACCCTGTTCGTGGTATAATGAAATCCTTGGCGATATTCAAAGTACCATCTCTACTCCATTGTCTGGAAATATGCATGAGCTATTTTAACTATTTTTTCTTTTTATACGGTTGAAACCTTAATTCCTTAGGATATCAGCTGATAAGCATTCAGAACACCAATAGAAGATTTTTCAAAAACTAGTCTCAGTATTCTTGTTAAGATATATGCGAAATTCGTAATCATTTGAGACCATAGTTCACACAAATGATTTCTTTTACAAAAAAAGAAAACTACTAAAATCTACACCAGATATAATACACATGTGCATTCAATGATATCATTCCTTTATACCAACCTATATTCACCACATTCGCCATAAGTGTGCACGTCCATATTTTGAGTTATACGCTCGATCAATTCCTTACGTGCTACTTGACAGGGTCGATTCAGTATGGCCAACGCCAATGGGGATGAATCTATCACACTTTCATAAAATAAATTTCTTGAAATATGTGACTCGAAGGTCGCTTGCGGCACATCCCAATGCGGTTGCAATGTGGGTGACATAATTCTCGAATCATTTCGTCTCACTATTTTGTATGGTTGATAAACGAAATCGGACTTCAAGGAATATGAAAATATTTTATCGTAAATACGCAAGTGGGAATTCGCCAACGATATATTACTGCTATTGCTAAATTGTAACGGTTTGTCTGTGCAGAAAATGATAAGTGAATGGTCTGCGTTCACGTTGATGAGATCACGACCACTTAATATATTATCAAGAGTTGAATTTATAACAACAGCATCAAAACTTCTAGAGTCTTTCAATTGAGTATTGTTACTTAATGTAACGGAACAATAGCCGCCGAACAAAGGCACATCGTTTCTCTGCCTATTTAAAACTGCTATCGATTTTGTCCTCCTCCTAGAAGAAGGAGTGCTTACTGCTGCTTCCTCATACGCACTTGTTCCATTATTGTTACTGTTGTTATTGTCACTGATCGATATAAACGCTGCTAATAAGAAAATGGTTACCAAAGCTGCAATGGCAAGGCATATATACTTTCTACGTCGATGTGTGCCCTGAAATTTCTTCTTTCTACTTTTACGTTTACGCACTCTGAACCTACGCTTGGTGGATAATTGTGCCTTTCCCAATATAGGCCTATGGGAATGATCCGTATATTCCGATTCCGACTCGGCGTCCGACATTGCTACCACTTTGTACATTAACGTGCCTACGATTACTACATGCTATGACCATCGCGCTCCGTTGACTGAATTGCGTTTCGATATTTAGACACCTACTGGGGCCACACAGAACAATCGGAAGTTTTATCGGTATATTTTATCGGTAATTTATTAGCAAAATAAAAGAATATGTTATAGGCAGGTAAAGTTTAGGAAAACGCAGCGGTTGGGTTATCACCTGTCGGTTAGATAAGATTAACTGTGTCGACTATTTGCGCTCTGTAAGCTTAACATGTACTAGTTTTTATTGGAACGCATCGCGCGTTCGCTACTCGGCAAAGAAAAAACGTGCGATACGCAGAGTTCACTGTTATACACGTACTTACTTATACCTAAGAAATAAATGTTGCGAAATCGAAATGCGCTTATTCCCAAATGATAAGAACGAAATATAAATTGAATACAATCTGAGAGCAAAGAGAGTTGAGCGGAAATTGTTTAGAATCTCGGAACAAGTTGGCAGTTGTCTCACATATTGGTGATTGTAACACTATAAAGTAACCGAAGTATACATAAGTAGGGTTTTTTTATATCAGAAAGCAATTCTTTTAGCCATTATTGTCTGTTTGTTGGTCTGTTGAGTCACGTAAAACTTGATGAAAACTTGAGACAAAAATTTACGTACACACATACTCAACTTTTTTATTCGAAATAAACCGCAATCCCCCTAAAAACATATTTGCATAACTCTTCATAAAAATAAGCTCTGAAACTCAAATTTCGCACTAGGTTCATTGGGCGGAGTGGCTTTAAGTTTTTGAAGTTGAAGTATGGTTTGGACTTGTTATAGCTTTCATGTTCGTATCTCGTGAATTATTTGAGTTGCTTTCACCACATTTTCTGATAACTTGATTGTTTTCACCGTCAAAATTTCACCCGTTCTTTATTTGTATTTAGACAGTAAATTAAGAATTGATTGAGGAAAGCTTAATGGTGCTAGAGACTTATAGATAATTTGATTTCAGTGATCACTGTACAAAAATAGTATTCTCTTCCGGTTCTCTTGATAGTTGGTTAAAAGTACCCAACCGGACTTATATCCAGTTAAGGCTGTAAGGCTGTCAGCAATACAGGAAGGCATGTGGAAGTTACTTTCTGACAAATTTGTTAACTTAATTAAAAAGTAATGGCTTGTGCCACTTTAAATACTTGATATTCATTACATTGGCAGATGAATAATGAACAGTGTGTCAGATGATTGGCACTCGTATGTCTTCCACTTTTTATACAACAATACACTGAAAATGAGGACCCTCAATTATTTAGATACAAAACACACCGACATGCTAAAATATATATGCATATACGAGTATATATATATACATACATACCTATATATATGCTTATATAGGTAATAAGCATATGCGCATTTAACTGCATTTAGCGTTCGCTTGCTACCTTTTGCACCCGTCAACGGTAATTTGAAACGGCGTCGTGGCCGAGTTCGAGTCCAATTGCAAGCCCCAAATGGCAGTTCGTATGGCATGCGCCAGTCCACGTTATATCGAGTCAGACCAACTGTGCAAACAACAACTCTACAATAATAACACTCACGGCCATATAAAGGCGAAGTGCTTTCACCACTTACAAACATATAAATAGTCTTATATGCATACTTTGTTCATATTGTAATTTTGAATATTCGATTTTTTGGCACATTTCCATATCGTTTTACATTAGATATACTATATTTACCCCGCAAACCGGACAGGCAGACCTTTGTCACAAGCGGACACCTTGAGCGCGCACCGCTGCAACGCCGCCGAGAGCAGATGCACATGGCCGGCCACTTGAGTACACCGGGTGTCTGAGGTCATGTTCCTTTGCCTGTTCGACTGTGTTATCCTTTTGGCAATTTAACAATACAAAGGGTACGCGCACCCACGAAGGCGTAAGTGTGCACAAGTATGTGTGTTCACACTTTCAACTAATTAATTTTTGAGAAGTAGAGGGAGAGAGCAGGGGACTGAGGTTTGTATGCATGAGTATGTGGTAATGTCCGCAATTTTTCAACTTCCTACTTTAACTTGTAAATCCATTCGTAATTCCGTTGTATTTATTTTTATTTCAACGTAATTTGATCGAATTGCGTAATGTATGGTAATGGACATTGTGCTGTCGGGTTATTTGGTGTAATAGACTGTATTACGATAATTTTTCCGTATATTCCGTGGTAGACTTATCGTCAGCTGTCCTATAAATGTATGGTTCAACATATTCAACTATTTTAGACCAAATAAGAGGGAAAATATTTAGAATACAATGCAAAATTAAATACCGGATTTAAAAAACAAATTGTAATCTCATGCATATAATTAAGAATTTAAAAAAGAATTTGTTTTAGAATTAACATTTTTTCGTGTTCAATCAAATCAAAAAATAATATTTTAAATTTTTAATCCCAAAATCGGCATTAATAAATTACAATTAAATTTTTAATTTGAAATTTTTTAATTAAAAAATTCGCATCCCTGCTCAGTACAAGGCTTTTCGTTCCTGCTTTCAATGCTCATGCCTATTCCCTACAATATTCAAATATTAATATTTAAATATTTTTACTATTAGGCTATTTTTACTTAGTAGGCCGGTTTTTTTATTGAAAATTGCTGAGCTAGTTGTACTAGGTTACTTGAGCTCACTGATATGAACAAGGTAGTATAAGTACCACATAAATAGTGATCGCTCGTATTCTTAACGCTAGTGGACTGAAGAGCTAAGTATATGTTCGAATGAAGAGAGATTTGACTGAACTTTGACACTGCCCTGGCTTTTATATATAGAATTTTATATTTGCAATGTTTTGGATTTTTTCAGATGAAAAGTCTTGCTACTTATTTAATTATCTTTATTATTATTCTTTAATTGGAAAAACTTTTGTGAATCGGCAAATGTTGAAACTAATACACTCACCAAGAAACTTGTTACTCGTGCGGTAGCTTTGAATCAAGGACCCTTCCGACTGACTGGCATAGGTCTTTTCGTAGTAACCCTCGAAACTGCGTTAACGGTAATAACCACACTTATCTATATCATTATCTTTTAAGTTGCGTGATTTTCATTTACAGATCTTTCGAGTGGCTAGCTCTTATTTAATGTTTCTCTGTTCAATGTATGGCCATTAAATGTTTAAAGCACTGCAGGTCACTACAATCATTATTTTTTGTAGTATTTAATGTTTTTGTTATTTCTATTATAACGAGTTCGGAGAGCTGTTTTCCAAACGTTTTGATTCCGGACGTACCCGAAGTGTATGTGTGTTATTTTTTATTTTTTGGCAAACCATTTTACTTTTCATTTCCATTTCACTATTTATGTACTTACTTGTATGTTAGTTTATATGTTTCAATTTTCCTACATAGTTTCGTTTAAAATACTCAGTTGTATAACTTTTATGTGACCCTTTATCATTCCTGGAAACATTTCAAAAATATTAATTAAAAAATAACAACCCCATTTTCTAGGAAAATTAAGCGGGTCAAATAAAATATACGCAAATATATATAGCTTCAGATGGGCACTTGAACTATGGAATTTAAATAAGTATTTTCATAGCAAAAATTGGCAACAGCAAAAGCAACAAACGCGTTTGCACCGAAAAGAGCAGAAATTACGAAAGAAAAATTGCAACATCTTGCCTCAAGGTATAAAGTGCAGGGCCAAAAAATAAAAATAATCACAATAAAACAACAATAAAATATTTACTACATTACTCTTTACCAGGCAGCGTCTTGGTGCGAAAACAATAGCAATGAGGTCGTCAAGACCGACGCCGGTGCCCGAGGCCGTGCGCACAACACGGTTGCAAGGACTAACTTTTCGCAAAGCATGACTTCGCGAATTCGGAAAGCGAAATACTTTGTGCGGTTTATTTATCTATACCACATACATACATACATACATATACATACATATATGTGTAAGCGAAATTGCACAAACATAAATATTGTGGTAATTGACTTTGTGACTTTCAATTTGCATCAATGTGCCGAAAGTGCCAAATATACATATGTGCACGGGCATCTGTGCCAAAGCCCCGTTTTACGCCTGAGTAAAACTCACTCTTTAAATACAATTTTCTTTTGGCTGTGAAGTGAACAAAAAAAATATTTTCCAAATATACTATTGTGTAATTCTAATTGGTTATTTGAAGAGGCTTCGCGCCATTTGCTTTGTGGACAGAAATTTAGAAATAATCTGAAAAAGTTTTATTTTATTCAGGACGAAAAAGATCTTCTACTTTAAGATTTGCTTACTACTATCAAAAAATTAAAAGAAAATTTATATAAACAAGAAAAAACGTTTGCTTTGACTGCGCCGAAGCTGGAATACCCTTCACAAATAACGAAGTACCCATATAAAACCTGAATTTTGGTCATTCAGTTGGTATGACAGCTATCTGATATAGTAGACCGATCTGGAAAATATCTAAGATATTGTAGCTTTGCCTTAGAAAATAATCCATGACAAATTTCTTAAGGATATATCTTCAAATACAAACGTTTTTTACACAAGGACTTGATTTCGATCGTTCAGTTTGTATGGCAGCTATATGCTATAGTGGTCCTTGTCATAAGCAGCTTCTTAGGGAGAAAAGAACGAGTGCAAAGTTTCAGATCGATACCTTAAAAGCTGAGAGACTAGTTTGCGTACACACAGACAGATAGACGGACAGAGAGAGAGGGGCATGGCTAAATCAACTCAGGTCATCATACTGATCATTTATATATAATTTATATTTTATAGGGTCTCTGACTTTTATTTCGGGGTGTTGCAAACTTCGTGGCAAGGTTAATATACCCTGTTCAGGGTATAAAAATACTTTTATGACCACATTTCTTCCATAATAAAACCTTATAACAACTTGTGCTTGATATTGGAATAATTGTATATATATGTATAAGTGTATGTAAATTAAATGTATAGAAACCTTGATTGAGGAGAAACTCGATGTCAATAGTCAATGTAGCAGCTGCCGCCGTTGTTTGCATTGTGTTCGGGTATTTAAATGGCAGCAAAATCCTTCAAATGCGAGTATATTGCAAACAAGCCAATTTTGA